GTTTAGTGTCGGTGATGGCGGCTACTTTGTAGCCATCCTCCTGGGAAAGCGTGAGAACCGCGGAGAACAGCAGGCACCAGCTGTTCCGCGGCTCAAAACCTCCCTCCCGGGTGAAGGGGGGGAGGGGAGTATCACCTGAATAGAGGTAGAGCCTCTTGAACACCCCAAGAATTTTTCCTTAGGGTGTGAAAAGAGAGCTCCCTCGGAGTTCGGGTTGCCTCCGCCTCCCAGCTGTCTTTGTTCCTTCGGGAACAAAGCCAAACGCCGCTACCATCTCCGCGCTTAAAGGGACCGGGTGAGTTATTTTTAAAAGCGGACAGAGCTGGATAAAGGATTGGATTTATTGCATTTCATTTGGACTTTAGTTTGAAAAGTTGACCTTTATTTCTTTTTCTTTTTTTTCTTCGTTTTTTCTTGTGCGGAGAGTGAAAGTAAAATTGCAATTTGAAAGTTTTTTTTTCATCTGAAAAAAAGTGAGTGAAATGGAACGTTATGGACTAGATGGTTTTTTCTTTTAAATTTTTTTAAAGGTGGATTTGTGTTTTGGAAATATTTTTTTTTCTCTTTTTTTTTTGTTTGTTAAACTCTCCTTTGTCATTTTTTTTTCCTTTTAAGGGACTTTTTATTGTTTTTTTTTAAAGAAGGAGGAAAGAAGATTTTTTCTTTTTTAAAATGGCTTCAAAGAGGCAAGTAACCTCTACAGTACCTAAGGTGGCTTCTTCTCCTGCGATCTTACCGGCACAACAACCTAAAGCCACACCACCATCCTCTCCTCCTTTGCCAGTAATAACGGTACAAGATATGAAAGATATAATGGGAAATGCTGTAGCTCAAATCAGGGGGGAAATGAAGGAGCTTCTAGAGCAGAATAAAACTCAAATCAGAGGGGAAATGAAGGAGCTTTTAGAGCAGAATAACACTATTTTGAGGCAAGATATAGTTATGGCCTTAACAGGACTTGCTTCTGTGGTTGAGAAGTTGGATTCTAGAGTGGAAGAGGTGGCAGATAAGGTGGATATTCTGGAAAACAAGTTTGAAGGCATGGAAAAAAAGATGGAAATTTCACAAGATGACATTGTTATGTCTCAGTACAGAGAATGGAATATGCTTTAAGAATCAGAGGCCTGAAAGAAGATATGCAGCAAGACCTGAGAGAGATTGTGGTAAATGACTTTGCTGCTATTTTGAATAGAGAGAAAGAGGAAATACTCAGAGAAGTTGAAAAAATATTTAGAGTTAACTCCTGGGTTGCAAAACAAAGAAACTTACCAAGAGATGTGGTGATTTATTTTGGAAAGAGATCTCTGCGTAATGAAATCATACAAGCTTTTTATAATAAGAGGTTTCAGATTGCTGCTCAAGATGTCATCATTCTAAAGGAGATCCCATCCAAAATTTTAAGAAAGAGAAAAGAGTTTGCTTTCCTAGCTAATGAACTTTAAAAAAGATTGATGCCATTCAGATGGGAGATTCCGATGGGTATTGTTGTGAGCCATGCGGGGACGCGTTATAGACTTAATACAGTTTCTAAAGCAAAGGAGTTTTACAAGTCGGTCCTGGGAGCAGGCTCACCATCATCTATGATGCAGAAAGTCTTGGATGGCAAAGAGGTGGAACAGCAGTCTGAAGAAGTAGAATTGATGGTTGCTGGAAAGTCACAGGCGGAGTGGTTGCAACAAACAGAGATTAAAGAGCAAAGAATGACTCGCGCAGCACATAGACGTAAGGAAAAGGAACAACAGAAGAAAGAAGTTAAAGAAGCTCTTCAAGAATTTGCTTCGATGCTGGTGGGAGGAGCAAGACCTAAGAGTTCTGCAGTACATTCTTCAATGGCAGATCTTCAAGCAGTCTTCTCCAGGCTTCTGGTAAAGGGAGATGGTAAAGCTCCTGACATGGAATGCTAATGGCCTTAATTCCCCTCAAAAGAGAAAGAAAATTTTTCATTATTTAAAGCAACATAATAATGATATTATTTGCTTGCAGGAAACACATATTATTTCTAAGGATCAAAAATATTTAGTTAATGCTCGTTTGGGTCTCATTTTGTATCTTTTGCTCCTGGGAAAAAAGGGGGAGTAGTTATCTATGTTAAGCAAAATTTATCAGCCTGTTTGGTAGAATCTGATCCTCAAGGGAGATATGTTATGATTGAAGTTGGTTTGTATGGTAAGAAAGTACTTATAGTGTATGCACCATACACTTATAGTGTATGCACCAAATCAACAACAGGAACAATTTTACAGATTGTTACACCAAAAATTAACTTTGTTGGATTACAGATCTGTTATATTAATGGGAGACTGGAATGGTGTTTTAGATACACAAAGAGACAAAAAAGGATCTTCTATTTCTTTTAAACAGGCTAAATTACCTAAAGCTTTTTTTGATTTGAAAGAAGACTGGGAGCTGCGAGATTATTGGCGTGAACACAATCAGGAGGAGAGAGATTTCACTTTCTTTTCGGATAGACATCAATCTTTTTCAAGAATTGATTTTTTTTTTATTACAACAGATTTATACTTTAGGGTAAAGAATGTTAAAATTTTTCCTAGGACATTGACAGATCACAGTCCAGTTTGGATGGAATTGGTTGATGAAAAAGAGGAGAGGAGATCGTGGAGGATGAATGAAAATTTATTTAGACAAAAAAAGAATGTTCAAAAATTAAAGGAGCAATTAAAGGATTATTTTGTTTTAAATATGCATAAGGGAACTTCAATGTCAATGGTCTGGGATGCAGGTAAAGCCTTCATGTGGGGGATTTTGATACAAATGAATAATGTTTATAGACAGAAACAGATCCAGAAACGTAAGGAGTTGGAAGATGAGATTAAACTAAAAGAAAAAGCTTTGATTTTAAATCCTACAGATGATAAGATTAAGGAATCTATAAAATTGCTCAAATCACAATTTAATATGTTGATGGCTGATCAAACTGCAACTAATTTATTGTATATGAAACAAAACACATTCTGTAATGCTAATAAACCAGGGAGATGGTTGGCTTACCAACTGAGAAAGAAGCAGAGACAGAGAACTATAGATAAAATAAATTATAATGGTAAATTGGTATATCAGAAGGAGTTGATTAAGAAATCTTTTTTAGATTATTATCAAAAATTATATATAAGTACTAAAGTACAGGTTTTAGATATAGATAATTATTTAAATGAAGCCAACTTTCCTAAATTAACAGAAGATCAGAAACAAGAAATCAATGGTTTGATTACTAGTGAGGAAATTGAGACAGTGATCAAAGAATTAAAATTAGGTAAAGCACCGGGTATGGATGGTTTGACATCTATTTATTATAAAACTTTGGTACAAGAGATGATTCAACCTTTAAGTGAGCTCTTTAACAATATATTACAGGGTTCAGAGATCCCCCCCGTCATGGGGTAGAGCCTTTATATCTTTGATTCCAAAAGAAGATCAAGATCTTACCCTACCAAAGAATTATAGGCCTATATCTCTCCTAAATGTAGATTACAAGATTTTTTCAAAAATTTTAGCTAATAGGCTTATGAGGGTTTTGCATCATGTTATACATACGGATCAAACGGGTTTTATAACTGGAAGGTATATGAAGAATAATGGGATGGTAAAAATTGGCAGTTAAAATCTTTGGAAGATTTAATACAAGATAATATTATTTATTCATGGTTTCAGTATAGACAAATAGTGGATAGGTGGAAGATAGATCGTAATGTGGGTTTGCTTAGAGAAGATGAGAATTTGTTAAAACAAATAAAAGATCAAAGACGAACTCATATTAAGAGAATTTATGGGGTGTTAGTAGAATTGGATTCAGAAGCAGAATTAGTTAAAGAATGTATGGTTAAATTGGCACAAAATTTTGATGAACCGGTTCTACTAGATACCTGGGAAATTATTTGGGTGAGGAATGTTAAATTTACACAAGCCCAAAACTTAAGGGAGAATTTTTACAAAATGTTTTATAGATGGCACCTTGATCCACAAAAAATGTCTCGTATGTATCCTGACTTACAGCCTAAATGTTGGAGATGTGGATGTTTGGATGCTACTTACTATCATATCTGGTGGTCATGTAAAAATATAAAAGCTTTTTGGATTAAGATATGGTGGAATATTCAAAGAATTTTTAGAAGGAGGGTAAAATTTACCCCACAATTGTTTTTGTTAGGTATTGTTTCTAATTGTGATACTAAAGAGACTATATTGATGTTAAATTTAATTACAGCGGCAAGGTTGTTAGTAGGGCAATGTTGGAAGAAGGAATCTTTGCCTACCTTGCAAGAGTGGTTTTGTAAAGTTTCTTATTTGGCGGAAATGGCAAAGATTTCGGCTTTCTTGAAAGACCAATCGCAAGAGAAGTATTTTTTGGTATGGAAAAAATGGATAGATTTTATACAATATAAGTTGGATATAAAAAAATATTATTTAGCTTTTCAATAACTTATATTTAAAATTTAAAATATTTTATAGATCTTATTTTTTTATCTCTTTCTTTTTTCTTTTTTCCTATTTTTCTAGTATTTTCTTGTATTTTTGTTTTATATATATATATTATTGTTAATTATCTTACAATTTGTTTAATTAATGTATTTAGATTTATTTATGGTTTATATTTTTCTTAAGATTTTTTGAAATTTTTTTAATTAAGCCTATATTCAGCTCTGGGAAGGTCGGGGGAGGGTGTGGGAGGGTTGGGGGGGTTTGGGGAAGGGTTGTATTGTTTTGTAAAATTTAAAAATTTTCAATAAAAAAAATTAAAAAAAATAAAAGAGGACACGTTTTTCAACATTATTTAAGTGCCGCTTTGTTAGTTAAATACTCCAATCTTTTAAAAATATCAAAGTTCAAAAATACTGCAGTTTAATCCTTTACAAATTACACTAGTATGCAAAGTTAAAATGTGTTAAAAGCAGGGCTTTTTTTCTCATAGAATGCCCAGAACGGAGTTCCGGTATCTTTTTTGGATGGAACCTTGTAGGGTAGGCAAGGCGGGTTGTTTGATGTGTGTGAGTTCCGGCACCTTTTTTTTTTTTTTTTTTTTAAGAAAAAAAGCACTGGTTAAAAGTATGGGCATTTTATTCCATTTTGGATGAGCAACTTTATTAATATAAATACATTCTATTATCTACCATCTATATCTACCAAATATGCATGCATTTAATATACATGATCATCATAGAACTAGACTCTAGTATACTCCACTTCCTGACCTGCTTCTGTTCTCTACTTTCACTCCACAATTGATTAAGAAATTTAATATATCTGAGAGAAAAACTGTTCCCATCTTATAACTCCCTCTTTCCTGAAAAGAGTTAGGGATCTTTGATTCTGCACTGATAGTAGGTTAGCTGTGTATGTAATTATTTCTATCAAGCAAGATTATCCCATTGTCACATAGCTGCTACAGCACAATAAAATTAAAGACCCCACCATTTGTACATATTAGTTTGACGTCTAGGCTGAAAATGGCTAAGTGGGTCAAATAACCAGTGAGTTTCTATGCCTGAAGATACACAGCAATCTAATCTTCTAAGTTGCTATCCGATACACTATACTAACTGTACAACAATGATTCGCATAGAGCCTCCTATTATATGTTCCTTATATTATACTCTAGCTATATGCATATAGTCAGATATAGGCCAGAGGAAAACGTGTTTATCACTTTCTTTTGTTATGTAGATAAAAACTGACCCTCGTAGGAACCTAACAAATTGCTTAAACAGAAATATTACTTGCATCAGCTTACTTCAGATGAAATATTTTTATGGCTATTTGTGAAACTATGTTTGTAAAGTCACATTTAGAAAATAAAAATGTTTTGTCTTTCATTTTAATTTTATTTCAAATCAGAAAAATATTATACATGTCCTGTTGGTAAACAGGCCTAATACATAGTTGAAAATAGTCTTCTTTCCAATCCAACCCAAATGTTGCTAAAGGAATATGTATGGATGAGTATAATATAAGGAACGTATAATAGAAGGCAGATATGTAACTATCATTTGGCAAAATGGAAATTATAGCGGTTTTTGAAAAGTTCTAAATTGTTAATTGTTATTTCATCTGTGGAGAGTTCTGTACAGCATATCAGAAAAGAGAAATAGAGAAAATAATGTATCCAAAAAAGTATGTCTAGGCATATCCACCATGATCTTCTTAAGGGAATGCAGGCAATAGAAAAATGGTATCTGTCATTTTTATGCCACTGTGTTGCTTTTCTCACATAGCACCTTTATAAAAAGAGGTAGTGATATTCTGTCTTTCTTGAAGACAGCATCTTTATTTCCACCGAAAATCATGTTTGTACTTTTTATTTCAAAATCTAAGCATCATGTGCAACAGTCTAGATATCATTGCTTCTGAATATATAAGTATTCCATCCTACCAATTCTATCTTTTATTTTCCATTGGGATTATAAATAGAAAGGGATTGCAGTTTACTGGGGGAAAATTGTTTAGAGTTCTAATGTCTTTTCTGTTTTGAACATACTATAGTAGTGGAGCCTATTGTTATATCTCCTAATCTTTACAGATTCAGCTAAAGCAATTATTTGTCTTCTGTTAGATTATTTGAGACTCAAAAAGTATTATTATTCTATTACTTTTTCTTTCCAAGGTTCTCGCAAAGTAGCTTTTACTCTGTATGTTGGTACCTGAAGCACAACTCCAAATTTACCCACTGGTTCAGGCAGTGTATCTCCCTCAGGAACACTGAGTGAGAATTTTTGCAAGATCCATGCTATAAAGAGAAACAGCTCCATCTTGGCCAGGGTTTCTCCCAGGCAAACACGGATACCAGCCCCAAAGGGGAGGAAACTGGGTGAGGGAGAGTAGATCCGGTTCCCATCCTCATCTAGGAAACGATCTGTGGGGTAAAAACACAAGCATTTCCTGGAAAACATCACAAACTCAGTAATGAAGAATAGAAGAAGTTGGCTAGAATATCCATATAGATCATTCCCAAATTTATAATTGAAAAAGGGTTCTCTATGTATCCAAAATATTACATTATCACTCATATGGTGGCAGTCTATGGAAAAGAAATTTATATATACTGTGGTAGTTGTAATTGTAGCAAAGAAGAGTCATATTGAAGGAAAAAATACTGATGAGCAGAAATCTGAAGAGAAGTTCTTCGCTCGGCTATTGGATGTGAGGAGTGTGACAGTGGGTAGAAAGGTAATAGAAATTATATGTTAAAAAAACAGCCCTTCTTAACAATAAAAGAATTTTAATTGAAAGTCCTATTCACCATTATACACACAATAAGAATGGTGGCATACCCACCTGGGTTAAATTTCCCTGGTTCATCCCACTCTTTCTCATCATGGTGAATGGACCACAGGTTGATTACAACTTCAGTTCCCTTGGGGATATGATATTCCCCAATGCTACAGGAAAAAAAAATAACTTTTTTTTAGTGAAAGTCCTCTTCCCCATCAACTCCCACTATTAGAAATGATCCTCCTCACCTTGTATCTGACAGTGCCTCATGAGGGATAAGAAGTGGGGCAACTGGCCGGATACGCAGAATTTCACTAATGGTAGCATCCAGGTAATTCAAATGCTGTCGATCAGCCAATACAGGATGTCTATTAAAACCAACTTTGTGATCCAGTTCTTCTTGGATCTTCTGTTGTACCTGGAGAAATGAGGAAGAAATCAAGCAAGAAGGAATAAAGCAAGTCATGACAGCTGTAGAGGAATTGCCTTGTGATCTAGACAGTGGTTCAACAATGGGAAGAAATCAGTTTGAGTATTTTTAATGATAATGAAAATCATAAAACTCTGGAAACAGAAAATACTATTTAATTCCAAAACATTGTTTTTGGTCAGGACCAAAGAGAGTCTTGCTCAGCATGCCTCAAGACAATATCTCCACACTGAACTATTTAATTCACTTTAGATGGAGTCTCCCCTGAAGCAAATCCAGGCAGTGGAAAATGTAGCAGAACGGGTGTTCTTAGGCCTCCCAAAGTGCTGTTTTATCAACCTGAATTGCAGGAATTCCATTGACTTTCTGTGATCCTTAGGATCAGTTTCAAGGTTTTACTAACCCTATATAAAATCCTTTATGGTGGGGGACCACCAGACCTTATTATGACCTTATAACCATTTCCTTTCCCTGCAAACTCAAATGCAGGAGGAAGATGCTCTAGCTCTTCTATGTCACCAGTGAGATCATGCAGGTTAAGTAGGTTGTGAGATCTGATCACTGCAAGACTTTTTTTATTATTTAGGGTAGTGTTTAATATTAGCTATATTTTAGTATCAGTGTTTTAGTTATTGTATGATTCCATTTAAATTGTGAAGTGCTTAGATACATGTGTGATTGGATATTTTATAAAAATATGACTAAACCCTGGTGGTGCAGTAGTTAGAATGCCATATTGCAGGCAAACTGCCCACAGCCTGGAGTTCAATCCTGACAGGTGTTAACATTGACTCAGCCTTCCTTCCGAGATTAGTAAAATGAGAACCCAGATTGTTGGGGGCAATATGATTCTACATTGTGAACATTCCAGAGAGTATTGTAAAGCAGTATAGAGTGGTATATAAGTCTAAGTGTTATCGCTATAAAAATATGACTAAAAAAATAAAAGAATGCACTTAATGATCTCTGCTAATGACAATGTCTAAACATGATGGAAAGAATCAGTTTCTCTTAATTAAGGATCTCAGTTGAGAAAAGTGTAGATATCTGTTTCCTTTGTTCACATAACTCATAGTCAATACAATTCTTCAAGAGATCATAGGCAGGACAGGAGAATCCGCTACCTCTGGGTAATGTAGGAGATAGAGCACAATCCATTTCAACACAGTGGCTGTAGTCTCCACACCAGCTCCAAAGATATCAGCCACTGTCATGAGTAGGTAGTCATCTGTTAGTTCTTGTTCAGAAAATAGATGTTTATTGTTGTTCTTCCTGTTCAATTTGGCTCTCAGAAGTGCATCCATTAGATCAGTAACAGAATCACTTCTGAATGCTTCCTGGAAGGAGAAAATGAGAATTGATAGTGGTGATGATTGAAGGACACCACCAGGAAGATTACTTAATGGATTTGCCTGCCATAGTAGAGCAATAAATAGAAATTGGAGCATTTTCAACATGTATTTGTATGTTGAATTTTTATCACACTTTTCCTCCAAGAGCTCAAGACAGCATACATAGCACATTATTTGTGGAGCAAAGCAGTGACTTCTCTTGCCTCGCCCCCAACTCAACCAGCATTGGCTTCTTCCCTTCTTTGTCCCAGAGAAACTCTTGAGCAGTGTGGTTACTCAGGAGAGAGAAAAGAGACTTCAACCCAACCCAGCATTAGGTCATAACTCTACCTACTATTTCTATAAATGATTTAATTTCCACAATCTCTGTCATTTTATAAAGCTAAAAAGCTCGTAGTATATTAAAACTGCTTAAAAGATGAGATTGAGAAAGAGACTGATTGGTCAAAATTTATACCGTTAGCGTAATTTGTTTATATTTACAAAACAGCCACTGTCTTAATTATATGAAGACCATAAAGCTGATATTGAATGAAAAAGGTAGAGCATAAATGGTTCAAATGAATAAACTATTTAATATCTCTTTTTGGCATTACTAGGGATTTTTATGGGAACAGAGCTGAGGCCACATGTTAACTTTGATGCTACTACTAAAATCTGTTTTTGTGATCCACCATTATAAGGGATAGTATAATTAATTTATAAAACTTCTGATTGTAGACACTTACTTTATGTTTTTCAAACTCCTGGTGTAAGAACTGGTCCCTCATTTCAATACATTTCTTCAGCAAAGCCAAATCTTTATTTGGGAAATACTGTGGTGGGCAGAGAAACAACCATAATCAATAAATTTCTCCTCAGAAAAACAGGAGTCAACAATGCCATCATAAGAAAAAGAATCTGAAGAAAATTAATTCATTTATGTTATTTATCTGATTTATGTCAGATACATCTGACATTCCTGAACTTTCCACCCCTCAGAAGTTGTATGCTGGTAACAAAACTGTCTTTGCTATCTTTGAAACTTTGGCTTTAGGGAAAAATGAATTTTGTTTCTCACATTCTTCAAATCTCTCACCTGAAGCCATGAGAAGATATCCAACATGCTCTGCTTAGCCACAGTGTCCACAATGCCTTGGCTATATCGAAGCATGGACTCAAACTCAGGATCTCCAGGCTGGTAGGATGAATTAAAACAAAGGGAGCACACTACATTTGTAACAGCACGTGTTAGTTCAGGAGCCATGTCCAAAGATGAATTCTCTGTAGCACTCAAAGTTGCACACAGAAAAGATGCTTGTTGAGAGACTGGAAGAAAAGCATGAGAGAACAAATCTATGCAAAAAGAAAGAATTATTTTAGGAACTGGGAGAATGGACACAGGAATTAGGGAAAACAGAAATATTTTAACCCAGGATAGGAATATATCTGTAGATAGGTTCCCCGATAACACTTTGATTATCCAGGAGATATCTTTCACCTGATTAATTTTTCACCTTGGACAAATCAATCACTTCCGATCTTAATGTCCCAGATGTAATAAAAGCAAAGTATAGTAAGGCTATTTTTACATATCATACTGAACACAACAAATGAACAAATGAACACAACAAATGAGCTTTATGTGTCATTTTGACCTTTTAATCCCTTTGTTTCGGAATGAGTTGTGGTGAATGAATGGAGCTGACTGTTCACTGGCCCTATGCCCTTCCTGATGCCTACGTGGAGTTCTCTTTGCACCCTGATAGAGAAACATATTCCGCTGCCTAGGATTGAACTCTCAACCTTCCAAGTGAGAGGCGAGCATCTTCACTTCTAGGGCCCCATGCTGCTCTAACTTTATATGTCATATGAACACCCCAAATTGAATTAAATAAACCATTATTTAGTTATAACACGTAAATGTGCCATATAAATGTAGCCTGGAACAGCTGATGGGCATTAAGTTCCATTGAACTGCATTCTGCCTTACACAATATAGCAGGGGTATATGAAAATAACTTAAAAGATTCCTAAACCTTTGCATAAAATTACTTTTCAGGATTGATGCAAGGATCAAAGAAAAACTTGTAAAGTGCTTTAATAATCAATATCTTGGCTACATTCTGACTTAATAATTGCAATTCTATGGCCTATTGTCAAAACTTTATTGATTTACTTATTCCATTTTGATGCCACCAAGTTCAAATGAGCACAAGGCGATGCTTATACTGAAAGATTGGTTATCAGATGTTTAACAAACACAGTTTAGGGTGTTTAAAGTTCTACAACATAAATATATATCACTAATGGATACCTAAGAAAGACAAATGTATCTCAATAACTCTACAGCCGTTTGCTCCAGCAACCATGTTTTTTCTACTCATTGTTTGAAAATATGATGTATATTTTATTGTTTTACCTCCTCTTTTGCAGCATCAACCTGCAGATAAATATTTTCTCAGGTAATCTCAATATATAAAAAGGCCAGAGAAAGCAAAGTAAATTCATATAAGCAAACTGATCATATCAATATAATTCTTATCTGAAGTAAGTAAAATTTTGGATTAAAACTATGACACCCACTCTCTGTTCAAGAACAACTGTTATCACAGAATAAACTAACTGCCAAGGTTATAGGATGCGGGCAGTTTTAAGCTAAATGTAGTTATTGTCTTTGGCCATGTTTCAGTTTATTATTTATTAGATTTTTTTTCAGGTGACTATAAGTTTATATGACTAAACATTTGTTAGATACTATTTTTTTTAGTTTTTCAATTTTTCAATTTTTTTCCTACTTATCTTTTACACTTAAATATCTGTCCTGGATGCATCTTTTTATGTAATTTAGATTATTCTTTAACCAAACAATATAAATAAACAGTCTTTAAGGTACACGCACTATGATAATGAGGTATAAAATTTTTAGGATGGGAATATTGGCTTTAAAACAAAATGCTCAATGGGCAGGAAATTGGTGTTTAAGCCTGTTTCATAACACTTAAATCAGAGGTGTCCAAAGGATAGGTTTTAAAAAAGTCAAGATAGTGGCCATAATTGCATGGTCTCAGCCACCATTTTGACTTTTTTGATCCAACCTGCAGGTGTCCTTGATTTAGATAATATGTTTCTTCACCCAAGAAGAGTAGGTTCAACTCATCTTTGTTTACAAGTACATTGCTAGTGTTTCTTTCCCTGGTTTGGGACTCTTTCACTACTATTTGAGGGCAACTCACTAATTTTCTCCAGAGCCTGAGATCCTTCTCCAAACAGGGAAAGTGCAGAATGTACCATCTTGCGCTGAAATTTCCACATTGGGCTATAAGTAGCAAAGGCAATGTCTTTTCCATTCCGGGTCAACAAGTCTGTAGTAACCTAGGAGGATACAGAGGAAGAGGAGAAATAACTGACTTTTCGTCAGAACACCTTATAATGCATTCAGTGAGATTATCATTTGGTTGACATTTGGAAGGAAGAAAAACATATGCATATATAGTATATGGCTTTCCCAATGGCCTTATTGCTGCCTTGGATGATCACTTGGGCATCTAATTCATTCACTGGCAATGGTCTTAAAAGACATTTACAGAAAGCAATTGTTTACGGAGCGTTTTGCTCAGATGAGGAGAGGATGGACAATGGGAGAGAGATATACAGTTATGCAGAATATAAAGAATACAGAAAAATGCTTCCGTACCTCCTTTGCAATACTGGAACCTGGTTTCACTGAATAAGGCTAGTGGAGAATGATCAAAAGATATTTTGGAGTAGTGGTTAAGACATGAGACTAGAAACCAAAAGATTGTGAGTTTTAGTTCTGCCTTAGGCACAAAGCCAGCTGGGTGATTTTGAGCTAGCCATTCTCTTTCAGCCTTAGGAAAGAGAATGGAAAATCACTTCCAAAATCTTGCCAAGAAAACTGCCAGGATAGTCCAGTCAGTCACCAGGAATCAACATGACTCCAAGGGACAAAAAAAAAAAAAAAGTGTGTGGGGGGGAGAATGCTGAAGATACATAGAATGAAGCACTTCTTCGAATAATGTGGCACATTACAGGACTTTGTACCCTTTGTTGGTGACCATAAAATAAGATGGATTTAAAAGACAATTAGAAAAATTAACGTGAATACCTGAAGGTATATTTCTAACATGGCAGATAAAATAAATATAAGATAGATACACTTGAGAAAGCGGAGGACTTTTATGAACATTACTTTATGCAGGGAGAAGAACAAGAAAGTAGGGAAGAGCCGGAGAGTAAAAATCAGGACAAAGAAGTTGAACGAGAAAGAGAAATACAAAAGATACAAGAAAGAGAAAGGTTAGAAAGAGAAGGGGCAAAAGGAAGGGTAATAGAGACAAGAAGCATAAAAAAATAGACCAAGTAAAAATGGGAGATGCAATTAAGCTCTTCTCTGTAAACATTAATGGTTTAAATATACCAAGAAAAAGAGCACAAACGTTTAACAAATTAAGAAAATTGGATGCAGATGCGATATGTCTTCAGGAAGTTCATATAAAAAAGAATTATAGAAAACTACTAGGGAATGTAAAATTAGGAACACTATACACAACATTAGCACAAAACAAGAAAGGAGGAATTGTTATATATGTCAAAGAAAAATAAAATCAAAATTAATATATTCGGATGAAGAGGAGAGAATTTTAATGTTGGAAATAGAATTAGAGCAAAAACAAATCTTAATTAACGGCAGTATGCACACCAAATAATAATCAACATGAATTTTTTTTAAAAAAGATACATAAGAAGCTAGTGGATCTGGATTATGAAAGTATTTGTATGATTGGGGATCTAAATGCAATAGTTGATTTAAAAAAGATTATAAGAGTAGTAGAAAGAAGAAAAAGAAGAAAAATATATTACCAAAATCGTTCTTTGATATGGTAACAGAACTCAACCTTCAGGATATATGGAGAGAGACATACATGTCAGACAAACAATATACGTTTTATTCGTATCCGCATCAATCTTGGTCTAGGATCGATATGGCCTAGGCAACAACAGAAGTACAAAACAGGATAGAGGAAATTGAAATAGGACTTAATGATTGGGCGGATCATAACCCAATAATAATAAAATGGAAAGGCCAGAAACAGAGAAAAAGATGATCAATGAATCAAAGACTGTGTAAAGATAAATAATATATACAGATGCTAGAAAAGGAGTTGACATTATTTTTTCAGGTAAATAAAAAGGAAGAGACAACAATACAAAATTTGTGGGATACTACAAAAGCTTACATTTGGGGATTGACAATTGCAATTGCAATTCTAAGATAAAGATAGGAGACTTCAACAAGGAAAATTACAAGAAGAACTTAAAAAAATAGAAGGTGACCTACAGAAGGATCCACAAAACAAAAAGATAAAAGAAAAATGGAATATTATAAAACACAACATTAACCTGACAACACAAAACGAAATGGCACAGAAAATTAGGATGGCGAAACAAAATTATTTTGAAAATGCGAATAAAACTGGTCGATGGTTGGCCTATAAATTAAAAAAAGAAAAAGGCAAAAGAACAATACATCAACTACAAAATGGAAGTGGAACAGTACAATATAGATGGGAAGAAAAAAAGAATATAATACAAAACTTCTTTTCAAAGCTATACCATCAGGAAGATATAGCAGATGATAAAGTCAAACAATATTTAGAGGCAGCAAAAATGAGCAAAATCACCAAAGAACAAAAGGAAATGTTGAATAGACCAATAGCCACAATAGAGCTAGAAACAGCACTGAAAAAAACAAAAAAACAATAAATCACCAGGCCCAGATAGAATTCCGGTTGAGCTTTATAAAAATACACAAGAGTCACTACAATGGATAATGTTGGAGATGTATAATGAGGTGCTGGAGGAGGCGAAGATACCGACAACTTGGATTGAAGCAATCATCACCCTCATCCCTAAGGAAGACTCAGACCTGCAACAAATTCAAAATTATAGGCCGATTTCTTTACTGAATACAGATTATAAGACATTTGCAACAATAATAGCAGAAAGAATTAAATTTTTTTTGAATAACTACATCCACCCAGATCAAAATGGATTTCTACCAGGACGACAGATAAAACATAATATGAGGATAATAATGAATACTTTAGAATTTTATGAAGTTTATCCTGAAAGACAAGCTACACTGGTTTTTCTTGATGCCCAGAAGGCGTTTGATAATCTGAATTGGAAATTTATTATAACACAATTGCACTATATGGATTTTGGGACAAAATTTGGAAAGATGGTTGAGAAAATATATATTAAACAAACAGCTAGGGTAATTATAAATGATGAAATGACAGAAAAATTGATATAACCAAAGGAGTAAGACAAAGATGCCCACTTTCCCCTCTTCTATTTATTTTATCATTAGAAATACTCCTGACAAAAATCAGAGAGGACCAAGAAATAAAGGGTTTAAAAATTAAGAAGGAAGAATATAAGGTCCAAGCCTTCGCTGATGATTTGGTATTTATTTGGATGATCCATTAGAAACCGGCCTTAAATTGATTCAAAAAATAGAAGAATTTGGTGAGATAGCCGGACTTAAGATTAATAAGAATAAATCCAAATTAATAACCAAAACTCTTACAAAGGCATAGGAAAATGAACTGGAAGATAAAACAAAGATAAGTATAACTAAGAAAGTAAAATATTTAGGGATCTGGCTTACAGCGAAGTGTTCCTCGATTAAGGAGGATAATTATGGTAAAATATTGCACCAGATTAAAAAAGATTTAGAAAATTGGGAAAATCTACAAATTTCATTTTTAGGGAGGACCGCTACGGTCAAAATGAGTATATTGCCAAAAATATTATTTCTGTTCCAAGTTATACCAATAAAATTAGGGGAAACATTCTTTCAACAATTAAAGATGCTAATTTGGAGGAACGGCAGGAGGGGATTAACAAATTTATTTGGGCAGGGAAAAAGCCGAGAGTTAAATTTAAAATTATGCAGGATGCACGGGAAAGAAGAGGACTAAAGGCGCCTAATTTAAAATTGTACTATGATGCGGTGGCTTTAACGCTGATTAGTGATTGGCTCAACTTAACAGATAAAAATATACTTTCTCTTGAGGGATGGGAATTATTATACGGATGGCACGCGTATTTAATTTATGATAAAAAAGTTGATCAGGTTTTTAAAACCCATATTTTGAGAAGTGCCTTGTTACGTGTCTGGAAGAAATATTATTATAGGCTAAATTATAAAATCCCAATTTGGGGGATTCCTGGACACGTGATAGAGGGAGTATCTAGGGGAGTAAATTTGGATAAGATTTCTTATAAGGAATTACTTAGTTTGGTTGGGCAGCATTGGCAATTAAAGCCCTTAACTGAGTTGAAGCAAGAAAATATTGTATATTCTTGGTTTTATTATAATCAATTGTTAGTGAGGTGGAGTTTAGATCAAAAGGTTGGTATTACTCTAGAGGTAAAACAGATTAAACATCAAAGTCGAACTCATATAAAAAGAATTTATAATATTTTAATAGAATTGGATTCTGAAATAGAATTAATTAAAGATTGTATGATTAAATGGGCACAAAATATTCAAGAACCGATTTTATTGGATACATGGGAGACAATTTGGGTTAGAAATGTAAAATTTACTCAGGCGCAAAATTTAAGAGAAAATTTTTATAAAATGTTTTATAGATGGCATTTGGATCCCCAAAAGTTGTCCCGCATGTATCCGAATTTACAGCCCAAATGTTGGAGATGTGGAAATTTAGATGCAACTTATTTTCATATTTGGTAGACTTGTAGAGATATTAAAGCTTTTTGGATTAAGATTTGGTGGAATATTCAAAAGATTTTTAAGAAAAAAATAAAGTTTACTCCGCAATTATTTTTGTTGGGTATTATTGTAGATTTTGATGTTAAAGAAACTAATTTGATGTTGAACCTTATAACAGCTGCAAGACTATTGGTGGGGCAATATTGGAAGAAAAATTTATTGCCTACATTGGAAGAATGGATACTTAAAGTTTCTAATTTAGCAGAAATGGCGAAAATCTCCGCCTATTTGAAGGATCAATCAGAAGAAAAATACATTATGGTTTGGAGAAGATGAATTGATTATATCCAGAAGAAATATGAGATTGAAAAGTATTATCTTGCTTTTGAGTAGATTTTAGATAATTATTAATAGTTATAATTATTTTATTATCTTTAATTTAATTTATTATTTGTTTGGAGAAGGAGTTAAAATGTGTTATGGTTTTGTTTGATAGTATAGTTGTTTATGTTTGTTAGATTATGTTTGTTTATTTTTTATCCTGTAATCAGCTCTGGGAAGTGGGGGAGGGGGGAAGGGGTGGGGGGGTTTATATTGTAATAAATTTATAAAACTTTTAAATAAAAAAATAGAATTGGACTCTGAAACAGAGTTAGTTAAAGATTGTATGGTCAAATGGGCTCAAAATATTCACGATCCGATTTTATTGGATACATGGGAGACAATTTGGGTTAGAAATGTAAAATTTACTCAAGCGCAAAATTTAAAAGAGAAAATTTTTATAAAATGTTTTATAGATGGCATTTTGATCCCCAAAAGTTGTCTTGCATGTATCCGAATTTACAGTCCAAATGTTGGAGATGTGGAAATTTAGATGCAACTTATTTTCATATCTGGTGGATTTGTAGAGATATTAAAGCTTTTTGGATTAAGATTTGGTGGAATATTCAAAAGATTTTTAAGAGAAAGATAAAGTTTACTCCGCAATTATTTTTGTTGGGTATTATTGTAGATTTTGATGTTAAAGAAATCAGTTTGATGTTGAATCTTATAACAGCTGCAGGATTATTGTTGGGGCAATATTGGAAGAAAAATTTATTGCCTACTTTGGAAGAATGGATACTTAAGGTGTCTAATTTAGCAGAAATGGCGAAAATTTCCGCCTACTTGAAGGACCATTCACAAGAAAGATACATTATGGTTTGGAGAAGATGGATTGATTATATTTAAAAGAAATATGAAACTGAAAAGTATTATCTTGCTTTTGAGTAGATTTTAGATAATTATTAATAGTTTTAATTATATTGTTATTTTTGTTTTAATTTGTTAATATTAGTTTTGAGAAGGAGTTAAAGTGTGTTATGGTTTTGATTGATAGTATAGTTGTTTATGTTAGTTAGATTATGTTTGTTTATTTGCTACCCTGTAATCAGCTCTGGGAAGTGGGGGAGGGGGGGAAGGGGAGAGGAGTGGGAGGGTTTATATTGTAATAAATTTTTTAAAACTTTTAATTAAAAAAAAGAATTAAATAAATTGGTCACTAAATTTATAGGGCAAAGGAAAAAACCCAGGATTAAATTAAAAGTCTTGCAAGATATGAAAGATAAAGGGGGATTGACGTTACCAGAGTGGGAAACATACTACCAAGCATCGAGCCTAACTTGGCTAAAAGAATGGATGGAATTGAAAAATACCAGAGTTTTAACAATAGAAGGACATGACTTGCAAGTGGGATGGCATGCATTCCTATGGGACGAAAAATACAAAATACACAGATTTTTCAAAAACACATAGTTAGGAATGCATTGCTACAGACTTGGGAAAAAATAAAACAAAAACATTATATAAGAATTCCAGTGTGGTTATCCCCAACAGAAGCTCTGAAACACCCAAACCTACTGGATATAAATAAGATAATTAGATACAAGGAATTAGTAAACAAACAGGGAAATCTGAAAACAAAACAAGAATTGGAACAAGATATAGGCAGAGAGATTGACTGGTGGACATTTACACAAATTCAATCTAAATATACAGAGGACAAAAAATTATATGAAATACAAAAAGAGCCGCAAGAATTGGATAAAATTATACATGGAACAGAAATAAAATTAATTAGTAATTTATATAAATACCTATTGAGGTATAAAATGGAAGACGAGGTTGTCAAGGATACAATTTTGGATATAATATAGAATTGGAGAAATGGGAAAAATATGGGAAATAAACATAAAATTGACTATGTCAGCGACATTCAAGGAAAACCAGTTGAAGATGTTTTACAGCAAAGCTTGCCAAGATGTTCCAAAACAATTTGCCAACATGTTGGAAATGTAAAAAAGTGCATGGAACATATTATCATTTATGGTGGACATGCCCAGTTGCAAAAAAATACTGGATTAAAATAAGAAGATGGATCAAAGAAATAATAGACCAACCCGTAGACTAGAAACCAGAGATTTTTTTTGCTGGGTATTTTAAACAGAAACTATAGTAAAGAAATACGGTACTTAATTCTACATATAATAACGGCAGCAAGAATAGCATATGCACAGTTCTGGAAAAATGAGAATATACCATCAGAGGAAGAAGTGATAAGGAAAATCCTGGATTGTGCTGAGATGGATAAATTAACAAAAGAGATAAAAGAAAAAGAAGACACAAAGTACTATTTAATATGGAATAAGTGGTACAACTGGTTGGAGACTAGAAATAATAGAGGAGAATAAATGTGGAAAGGTCAAAAGTGGAAAATGTGTGTATAATAATGTATAGTAATAATAATAGGTATTATTTTTAGTATGAAGTATAGTATGAAGGAAGAAAAAGGCAAACAAGAAACAACAGGACAACAAGGACAAATATATCTAAAAAAGAATAAGGGGGAAAAATGTAAATAATAGATTACCGTTACAAAATTGCTGTTAAAAAAAAGGAGGAGTACACACTGTGTGTGTATGTGTGTTATATTGTGTTTTTTCTTATTTTGTTGGTTTTAAAAATAAAAATTTATAAAAAAAGAAAAAGAAAAGAAAAATTAACGTGCTATTTCCAAGATAAGAGCAAAGGATAAAACATGAATTGAAAAGTCACATGTCTGATGCCTCTTATGTTCTTAACTTTATGGGGGTTATGGAAAACCATATAATCTCTGCAGTCTAAATTTATAAACTCAGATGCAAATATATTACTTCTCTGAGAAATGGAGCTAGCACTGAAGTTAATAAGAGCAATATCTTCCCTGGTGGAGTTTGAATGGCTCATAAAAAGAATTCTAAATCACATAGCCAAAAGAACAATATGTCTTAATAGCTGTATCCATATTCTAGTGTTGTTATAATTTCTCAGTATTTTTCAGAATTAGTTTCTTGAAATAAATTATGCAGTCATGTAATGTATTTTATAAAAACAGTTACTTAAAATATTCTAAGATGATACAAGTCAACAGCAAAGAGAACTGAAGAATACTTTCAATGAATAAGCTCACAGTAAAATGATACTTGCATTAATTTATTATTTTGTTCCCAGTTCATTTTGGGACTTTCATCAGGTGAACATTCATTTCTAAAGTTTCCTAATAAATTATCCACACAACCTTATCTAAGAAATTTAAATCAATTGAAATTTGTTTGTTTATTTGATTTTGTAACTGTAATTCAAGATGGCAGCCATACCTAATACTTCTTCCGCCTTCTATTTTCCCCATAACAACAACCCTGAGAAATGGATTGGGTTGAAAGAGGCTGATGGACTCAAACTCACTTAGCCACCTTTCATGTCTAAGGCAGGATTGTAACTCATAGTCTCCTGTTTTCTAGGCCCTGATGTTGACTGAAGCTGTATCAAGAGCCAGAAACCAACTCCAAGCCTAGATTAGGTACTAACCTGGATAGTTTACTTACCGTTCGAGGTCTGCCAGCAAAGATCTTCCCTTTCTTAAGCAGCACTTCCTTGGCATGAAGGTAATCGTTGATCACCACTGTGTAATGGGAACCCATGTATAGGGAGAAGATGCTACCGTACTTTTGCTGCATATTGAAGAATAAGAGATGGGGCTGCTTGGAGCCACCTAAGTGCAAGAGGCTACCAATAACTGGCAGAGATGGAAGGCTCCTGGGACACTTGAGCTTGGAGTCCAGCTTCCCTCTTGCTATTCTCCAGAAGGATAGGACAACCAGCATCAGGAACAAGATAACCAAGAGAATCATCATTGTCTCTCAGTTGCTTGGAGAATTGGTCAGCTATCCAGAAAAAATGAAGCCAAATGAAATGAAGTCTCTCTGTATTAGCCTACATGTGGACTTTTATAAGGGGTCCTAGCGACATCACCTTGCCTTGATGCTGGTTAATCTTTCGCAGATAATATAATCTGGAGCACAGGAATTAGCCTTGCTTCCTGCCAAGAAATCAAGAGCAAACTGCATCTCATTTGACCTGAACTAAATAAATCATAAAAATGTGTGTCCTTGCAAAAAACACAAGTTTTTTTTACTTTGCTTATACAATATAAACATTTATACTCTATATTGTTAAAAAGACCCTCAGAGTCAGTATACCTAGAATTCCTCAGAATAGCAACATTAACAGTAATAACAATAATATTTATTTGGTCAATAACCAGCAGAATTTAAAAGAAGAAAAACAGAGTGAAGCAGATAGATACAACAATACACTGGCAATTAGCAATATAAACTGCATAATAACACAGATATCCTCAATTTATGATCATTTCTTTAATGACTGTTAGAAGTTATAGCATGTTGAAAAAAGTAACTTATCATCATCATGGTTACATGATCAAAATTCAGGTATTGGTAACTGACATATATTTACGACGGTTGTAGAGTCCTGGGTCACGTGATTGCCGTTTATATCTTTCCCAGGATGGAGCATTACCCATCTCCTGTTCATCCATCTTTATTTATGTAGAAGGAAGTAAAAGAGACCTTTTCCAACTCCTTTGCCCAACTTCTCTTCTTTAGGAAGAGGCAGCTTCACACATCTGGTTTCTGTTCAGAACATGGACAAATGGTAGGGGCAAAAAACCCCTCAGTAATTATAAAGAGCTGATTTTGCATCTACTATGATGCCAGAAATGTCAAACTTCATTTAACATTCAAAGCTGTTTGATTTCCAGTGAGCCAAAGTGTGATTGTGGTAGACACTACATCAGGCATGTCAAACTCATGATGTCATGTAACGTCGCGCAATGTATTGCGACTTTTTCCCCATTGCCGGCAATGGGGTGGGCACGGTTTTGGCATGATGCATCCGGTCCGCGGGCCGGCAGTTGACATGCCTGAACTAGATGGAAGACTGGGGTTTTATTTACAAGTAGTCCTTGACTTACAACCACAATTGAGCCCCAAATTTTTGTTGATAAGCAAGACAGCTGTAAGTGAGTTTTGTCCCATTTTACAACCTTTTTTTGTCATACTTAAGTGAATCACTGCAGTTATTAATTTAGTAACACAGTTGTTAAGTGAATCTGGCTTCCCCATTGACTTTGCTAGTCAGAAGGTTGATTACTCTGGGATACTGCAACCATCATAAATACATGCCAGTTGCCAAGTCTCTGAATTTTGATCATGTGACCATAGGGATGCTGCAATGGTCGTAAGTCTGAAAAATGGTCATACACCACTTTTTTTGTGCTGTTGTCATTTCAAACAGTCACCAAATTAATCTTATGTTGAGGACTATCTACATCGTTTTATTTTATTTTATTTTATTATCTATCTATCTATCTATCTATCTATCTATCTATCTATCTATCTATCTATCTATCTATCATCTATCTATCTATCGAATTTCTAAGCTGCCCATCACATTTACATATTGACTGAACTGACTGGACATAAAATTGGCTGAAATATTCCTGAAACAGCAATAATGTCCACTGGGAGGGTGGAAGGAGGCAGTGGAAATCAGGGTAATATAAGCACTGCTGCAGTAATATAAATATTGTAAGGTGTCACATACTCAAAAGTATGGGACTTGTGGTGCAATGCTATGATGCTGCTTTCTTCAGAAAGGCTAAAGAGAGGGAGTTTGGTCTAGTGCAGGGATAGGCAACCCAAAACACTCAAAGAGCCACTTGGACCCGTTTCCCACCAAAAACAAAACACCGGGAGCCGCAAAATCCTTTTGATATCTAAAATGAAGATAACACTGCATATATCCTTTTTTACCTTTATTATAGGTGTGTGTGTGTTTGTGTGTGTGTGTATGTATGTATGTGTATGTGTGTATATTAAAAATAAAAGTAAAAATATGACTCTTGGGAATATCCATACTATTAAAACAATGATCACCAGGAGAATGCTTTAAGAGAATAAAATTACATACACACACAGGTAAAAAAAGGATATATGCAGTGTTATCTTCATTTTAGATGTCAAAAGGGTCTCTCTCTGTCTCTCTCTCTCCCTCCCTCTCTATCTGCCCTTAGTCTGCCACTCCTCTTCCCCCACTCTTTCTTTCTTTCTCTCTCTCTCTCTTTCCCCCCCTCTCTCTCCCTCCCTCCCTCTCTCTCTCTCTTTCTCTCCCTCTCTTTCTCCCCCCCTCCTATCTGCTGCTCACCTGGCAAGCTTCAACCTGTTGTCCAACAAGCTCAGGGGTAAACAACCTCGTCTCTTTTATGACTCGTGGACGTCAACTCCCAGAATTCCTGAGTCAGCCTAGCTGGGCTAGCTAGCTCTCTCCTGCCCTTCCTGCTTCCTGCTTCCTGCTTCCTGCAGAGACGCAGCAAAGGGAGGAGCTCCGCCCAGTAAGCTTTTCAGCTCCTCGGAGAACACTGTAAGTGCATGCTCTTTTACACACACACACACACACACAAACACAAACACACACAGAGAGAGAGAGAGAGAGAGAGAGAGAGAGAGAGAGAGAGAAAAGCAGGGAAGCGCAATTGCCTCTCTCTGTCTCTCTCTGCAAAGGCAGAGGAGGCTGGGAGCCACAGGGGAAGGCTCAAAGAGCCGCATGCCGCTCCGGAGCCACAGGTTGCCGACCTGTGGTCTAGTGGTTAAGGTGCTGGCCTAGAAACCAGGAGACTGAGTTCTAGTCCGGCCTTAGGCATGAAAGCCAGCAGGGAATCTTTGGGCCAGTCAGTCTCTCTCAGCCCACTCTACCTCACAGGGTTGTTGTTGTGGGGAAAATAGTTGAAGGAAGGAGTATTATATATGTTCGCTGCCTTAATTATAAAGTAATAAAAGTGGAATATAATGAGGTTAATTTAGATGAATGGCAGAAAGGTATTAATAAATTTATCTGGGCAGGGAGAAAACTAGAGTAAAACTTAAAATTATACAAGATATTCGTGAGAGAGGTGGACTCAAGGTACCGAATTTGAAGTTGTATTATGATGCAGTGGTTTTAACATTAATAAGTGATTGGGTTAATTTAACAAATGTGGAAATACTCCTCTTGGAGGGTTGGGATTTAATTTTTGGATGGCATGCCTATCTAATTTTTAATAAAAAGGTTGATAGGGCTTTCAAATCTCATATTATGAGGACCTCCTTACTTCGGGTTTAGAGGAAATATTATAGAAATGATTTTAAAATCCCACTATGGGCTATTCCATGGCATGCGATAGAAGGGATAAGAAGAGGGGTCAGGATGGATAGCGTTTCTTATGCACAATTACTCAGGTGGGATGGTAAAAATTGGTAGTTAAAATCTATGGAATATTTAGCACAGGAAAATATTATATATTCATGGTTTCACTACAGACAAATAATGGATAGGTGGAAGATAGATCGGAATGTGGGTTTGCTTAGAGAAGATGAGAATTTGTTTAAACAAAAGATCAAAGGCGAACTCACATTAAGAGAATTTATGGCAGTGATTCTCAACCTTTCTAATGCTGTGACCCCATAATACAGTTCCCCATGTTGTGGTGACCCCCAAGTGGGTGTGGCCACCAATAAGAGGAAGTAGGACAGCTAGGGAAAAGGGAAAAAAATGGCGGACAGCATGGTTTGGCGACCCCCGTGAAATGGTCATTCGACCCCAAATGGGGTCCTGACCCACAGGTTGAGAACCACTGATTTATGGGGTCTTAGTAGAATTGAACTCAGAAACAGAGTTAGTCAAAGAATGTATGATTAAATGGGCACAAAACTTTGGTGAACCGGTACTATTAGATACCTGGGAAATTATTTGGGTGAGGAACGTTAAATTTACGCAAGCCCAAAATTTAAGGGACAATTTTTATAAAATGTTTTATAGATGGCATCTTGATCCACAAAAAATGTCTCGTATGTATCCTGATCTACAGCCTAAATGTTGGAGATGTGGAAGTTTGGATGCTACATACTATCATATTTGGTGGACGTGTAAAAATATAAAAGCTTTTTGGATTAAGATATGGTGGAATATCCAAAGAATTTTTAGAAGGAGGGTAAAATTTACCCCACAATTGTTTTTATTAGGTATTGTTACAGATTGTGATACTAAAGATATCACATTGATGTTAAATTTAATCACAGCTGCAAGGTTGTTAGTAGCACAATGTTGGAAGAAGGAATCTCTGCCTACCTTGCAAGAGTGGCTTTTTAAAGTGTCTTATCTGGCGGAAATGGCAAAGATTTCGGCTTTCCTGAAGGATCAATCTCAAGAGAAGTATGTTGTGGTATGGAGGAAATGGATAGATTTTATACAACACAAGATGGATATTAAAAAATATTATTTAGCTTTTTAATAACTTATATTGAAAAGCCAATTTTCTTGAAAAGCCAAATTTTCTTTTTTTTTATTATTATTATTATTATTTTCTTCTTTCCTCTTTTCTATTTCTCTTTTTTTTATATATGTTACCTTTAATTATTTTATAACTTGTTTAAGTAATGTATTTAGATTTGTTTATAGTTTTATAACTTATATTGAAAAGTTAATTTTCTTTTCATATTTTTTATGTACCGTATTTCTTTTTTTTTTCTTCTTTTCTGGTATTTATGTTTTTCTTTTTTTACATATATATTGTTGTTAATTATTTAGTAATTCGTTTAAGTAATGTATCTAGATTTATTTATATTTTATACTTTTTTAAAGATTTTTTGAAGAAACTCTAATTAAGCCTATATCCAGCTCTGGGATAGTCGGGGGAGGGAAGGGGAGGGATGGGGAGGGATGGGGAAAATTGTTTTGTTTTTGTATTGTAAAATCTTAAAAATTTTCAATAAAAAAAAGTGGAATATAAATCTAATAAATAAATGAAAGAAATAAAACAGAGAGAGTCTTCAGCTACCTGGAAAGCAGGTAGCTGCATTAACCAAACTGGAAAGCTACTATATATGGCCAGTTAAAAAAAAAAAAAGAAATCATACCAGGAAATATAACAGGAATTTCTGTTCAGTGGAAATTCTGATCTTGATGCATAGATCCTTGTCTATGAGCAAAGCATGACAATATTTCACAACACCTACTATGTAGTTAGTACATGGCTTCTCTTGCAATCAGATAAGGCTTTCTCAATTGTAAGGTGACCAATTTTTTTACAATGAAAAGGAGGACACAAATAAATTGAAGAAAAAAATATTGTAAATAAAAGAAACATTTTATTCATTGCAACAATAATACAGAATACATTATAATATGATAAATGCATAATAAAAAACATTTGTAACAATAACATTTTATATTGTAATTATGCTTTCATGCCTATTAATTATTATTTAAATGAGTACTTTTCCATTGAATGAATATTTTTTGTCAATGTATCATCTTTTAACAATATATTGGAAATATCTGAACAAGAAATATCTTTCATATTAAATTTTACAGCAAGTGCTGCAGCTAGAGTATCAACATTCAATCTCAATTTCTCACTTTTCCCAAAATCATTAGCAATTGAAAAAACTCTTTCAACTGCTGCATTAGTTCCAGGGCAGCACAACGTAAATTGAACAGGAAAAAATAAATTTTCACATGGAATATGTTCATTTTTGAAATGGCTGAATATTTCCACCCATCTTTTATCAATTTCAACGTGTTTATTTTCCCATTGTATTAATTTTTCAGAATTAAAAAATACATTCAGTCTTCTAATTTCTTCAAAGAGACAATTGTCATCTATTTTAATGTCTGGCATTTCTTTAGATAAAAACTCAACACAAGATTCAATATCTGTCCAATATACTTGCGATGAAGTCAAAAAACATCATTGAAAACTGTTATTTCCTGTGATGTTTGTTTCAGACCATTCTTCAATATATTGAAAACATGTTTGGTAAAAAATTCTGCACTTCTTTGATAAACTTTTCCGTTATGCTTGGATTTGATTCCTCTAAGTCTGACAATTTTCTTTTTATAACTAAAGGAAGAATTTTTTCTTCAAATCAAGTTTTATATTGAAGGATAAAGTCATTCAAAATAAAACTAACTTCTGTAGCTGAAATGTGTTCACCTTCAATCTTTTGAATCATTTCGAGAAAAATAGATACCTGATTAATTAATCCCCCAGAGGGATAGAATATGTACAAAATACATTAATATCTCAGATATTTCATTATTGAAAAACGATTCCAGGATTTTAGGACATTTGTCTAAACTTAAAAAATATGAATGGAGAGGCTCAAATAATTGTAGAAAATGGTGTAGGGTTTCCTGCCCGAGCTCTATAGCAGGTATTTAGAGCAAGCCATCTAACTTTTGAATATCCTAAAAGTTTTTTGAATTGAACATTCGCTTCTTCACAAAATTGTTTTAAAGTAGCCACACGAATAATGAAACGACTAAAATACAAAGAAATTGTAGTTATTATTACTTCTACATCAATTGGCATGGCACATGATGCCATGTTGATTGCATTTGACAAAATATGTGCATTACAACCTATTCCTAGTATTTTCTTTTGGAGTAAATCTATAATTTTACATACACATTATTCACCCCTTTGCGTCTTCGCCCATCAAAATTTGTGTTTGTATTATCAGCTGTTAGTGCAACAACTTTGGATTTCAAATTGTTTTCATTTATTACTCTGTATAGATCAGTGGTTCTCAACCTGTGGGTCGGGACCCCACTTGGGGTCGAACGACCATTTCATGGGGGTCGCCAAACAACGCAGTCCACCATTTTTTCCCCTTTTCCTTAGCTGTGCTACTCCCTTTTATTCTATTGGCTTTTGAAAGCCAATAGAATAGACTCTCTTGAATAGAGTCTAATTCTATTGGCTTTCAAAAGCCAATAGGAGTTGTCCAGGCTGTCTCTGCCCTGCTGAGCCCGCCAAAAGTCCCATTCTGCAGACGGTGCTGCACCAGTTGAATAGTCCTCGACTTACGACCGGTTGAGTAGTCCTCGACTTACGACCGGTTGGGGGTCACGGCATTAAAAAGGTTGAGAACCACTGGTATAGATGGTTTGACAAAATTTCAGCAATTTCGCCCTCAATGTATTCTAAATTTAAAATTTTTATTTGAAAGCCCTTGGTAACATTAAAATATCTTACTAGTATTGGATACAATTTAGTTTCATTATGATTGGATGCATCAGATAAAACCATTACAAATGCTGCAGTTTCCAAGTCTTCTGTAAGTATTTTGTCACAGTAATTTTTAAATACTGATTTAATAATAGCCTCGTATTTTGTCCTGGCGCATGAAAATTTAGCATCATGAAACTTTTTCAATAATTTAATTGTACAATCCATACTACGAAAACTTTGATTGTGAATTATGGTATGGTATGGAATGCAAATGTTCTCTCCATTGTAGCTAACTGTTTTTCATCTTCAGAATACTTTGAAGTTTTAAAAAAACTTGTTACTTTACAACTGGAAGCAGATGCATCTGATGATTGCTTATGTTTCTTGGTGGTCAAGTGTTTTATAATAGCTGCTCTGCCCCTAACTGCAATACAAAATTCTCCACTGCAAATATTGCAGAAAACAATGTTATCCTTCTTTGATGTGATGAATGGAAATTCCTTATTCAATCTATCGTTGAAATGGCATTTCCTCTTTTTTCATGTTTCCATCCCTAAATGGAAATTAATCTCCTCCAGATATCTTTGGGACTAACTAGGACAGCGGTTCTCAACCTATGGGTTGCGACCCCATTTGGGGTCGATCAACCATTTCACGGGGGTCACCAAGCAAGGCTGTCCGCCATTTTTTCCCCTTTTTCTGGTGGGCGACTTACCTCCCCTGGGCTGGGCCAGCTGGTAGCCCAGCCAGTGGTCGGCCTGCTCCATCTCTGCCGCTTGCCAGCTATGCCTCGGCTGGCGCAGGGGGCGGCACCATGCATGCGCGGTGCTCCCAGGCAGGGAAAGCCCTTGACTTATGACCGTTTGGGTAATCCTCGACTTATGACCAGTTTAGTCCTCAACTTACAACCGGTTGGGGGTCGTGGCATTAAAAAGGTTGAGAACCACTGAACTAGGAGATGGTGTAGTTGGGTAGCAGGGAGGGGTGCAAAGTTCCTGCCAATTCACCTTCGCTGCAGACAACTTGCATGTGCAAAGTTTTCCGGCCGGGTGTTTTGGCACGCTCAGCAGCAATTCCTATTGGCTTTCAAAAGCCAACAGGGGGAGTAGCATAGCTCATGCAAAAGTTGAAAAAAACCCATCAAAAAAGGTGCCAGAATGCCGTTTTGAGCGTTTTATGAGAGAAATAAGCTCTGCATATTAGTCTTCAAATATCGAAAAGGAGGACATGTAGGAGGACACTTTTCGAGGGAGGACAGAACTTACAAAAGGAGGACTGTCCTCCCTAAAGGAGGACGGTTGGTCACCTTATCAGTTGTAAACTATGGGATCTAATGCTAATCTGAACATAATGGTTAGAGATATAACTTGAAATGCATGCATACCTCACAGTCAACAAAATTTTCAGTTTCACTTTTTCGCTAAAGGCTCTTAACTAGTGACTCCCTATCAGTATACCATAAAAAAAATGAAGTATGGTAATTTTCTGGTGATTTCCAAAACTGGTGATTTCCCAGTAGGTTTACTGCAACTTCAGGGGCAACTCTGTTTCAGCAACAGTTATATTTCATGCTTAATTAATAAGCCCAAACACAAGCTTATTTTTCTTCCTGCCATTAATATGTTTGCTTCAGTATATCTCCTCCCAGATTCCTCTGACTACTATTTATTCCTAAGCAGAAAACATTGTTAATAAAGGCTACAATTTGTAGGAATATATTTATGGTCAACAACCTCATCCAAAGTCATGTAGACCCATATCTGTCAACTGTCTTGAATTGGCCCAGGTAGTCATGGTTTGTAGGAATTAGGGATCATTTCACCCCAAAAAATCCATCCTAGGAAGTTATAGGATTTTAGCCCTAGGTGATCTGAAGCAAGCTGATCGAGGCCAAGGCAATAGTACAATTTTTTTTACCGTACCCAATTGAGCCCATTCTCCAATTTTCACCATTAGAACTTGTTCAACCCAAATTTTTAAGATTGGTCCTTTGAGTCCCAAAATGTGTCTCTAATGCCAGTCTGAGACTAGACTAGACTAGACTAGACTAGATTAGACTAGAATAGAATAGAATAGACTAGACTAGACTAGACTAGACAATCCTGTGGCCACAGGATTGGAAAAGGTCAGTTTACATTCAAATTCCAAAGAAAGGCAATGCCAAAGAATGTTCAAACTATCGCACCATTGCACTCATTTCACATGCTAGTAAAGTTATGCTTAAAATCCTACAAGCTAGACTCCAGCAGTATGTGGATCGAGAACTACCAGAAGTACAGGCAGGATTTCGAACAGGCAGAGGAACTAGAGATCAAATTGTCAACATACGCTGGATCATGGAGAAAGCTAGGGAGTTCCAGAAAAACATCTACTTCTGCTTCATTGACTATGCAAAAGCCTTTGATTGTGTGGATCACAACAAATTGTGGCAAGTTCTTAAAGAGATGGGAGTACCAGACCATCTCATTTGTCTCTTGAGAAACTTATATGCGGGTCAAGAAACAACAGTGAGAACTGGACACGGAACCACTGATTGGTTCAAAATTGGAAAAGGAGTCCGGCAAGGCTGTATACTGTCGCCCTGCCTATTTAACTTATATGCAGAGCACATCATGAGAAAGACAGGGCTAGATGAATCAAAAGTTGGAATTAAGATTGCCGGGAGAAATATCAACAACCTAAGATATGCAGATGATACCACTGTAATGGCAGAAAGTGAAGAGAAACTAAAGAGCCTCTTGATGCGGGTGAAGAAGGAGAGTGCAAAAGTTGGCTTGAAACTCAACATTAAGAAAACCAAAATCATGGCATCCGGCCCTCTCAATTCTTGGCAAATAGATGGGAAGAAATGGAGGTAGTGACAGAGTTTATTTTTCTGGGCTCCAAGATCACCTCAGATGGGGACTGCAGCCAAGAAATTAAAAGAGGCTTGCTCCTGGGGAGGAAAGCTATGGCAAATCTAGACAGCATACTAAAAAGCAGAGACATCACCCTGCCAACAAAAGTGCGTATAGTCCAGGCCATGGTTTTCCCAGTTGCAATGTATGGCTGTGAAAGTTGGACCATAAGAAAGGCGGAGCGCCAAAGAATTGAGGCCTTTGAACTATGGTGCTGGAGAAGACTCCTGCGAGTCCCTTGGACTGCAAGGCGTTCAAACCGGTCAGTCCTAGAAGAGATCAACCCCGACTGCTCTTTAGAATGCCAGATACTGAAGTTGAAACTCAAATACTTTGGCCACCTAATGAGAAGGAAGGACTCACTGGAGAAGGGCCTAATGCTGGGAAAGATTGAGGGCAATAGAAGAAGGGGACGACAGAGAATGAGATGGCTGGATGGAGTCACTGAAGCAGTGGGTGTGAACTTAAATGGACTCCAGAAGATGGTAGAGGACAGGAAGACCTGGAGGAACGTTGTCCATGGGATCGCGATGGGTCGGACACGACTTCGCAATTAACAACAACAACAACAACAGACTAGACTAGACTAGAATAGAATAGAATAACTTTATTGTCACTTTAAATGTATTAGCATATATTAAAATGAAATTTCATTGCATAAAGCTCTCAAAGGGTCACCAGCTCCAATATATACTACATAAATATGACAAAAATAAATAAATACAGAATTATTCATATGTCCACATATATTATATAACACAGAGAAACAACACAGTCTAGTTCGGATTATGTATACATGTGCATGGCGAGAAAAATGAATTTTGTGAGTTTACCAGATGGATGGCATAGGAACAAAGTACATAGCACTTATAAGCAGCACCCTGAATACCAGGAAGCGAACTTCCTATGATCTTCTCAGTTGTCCTGTTGTTGTTGTTGTTGTTAGTTGCGAAGTTGTGTCTGACCCATCGCGACCCCATGGACAATGTTCCTCCAGGTCTCCCCAGGTCCTCCTCAGTTGTCCTTATCACTCTCTATATGGACTTTTTATCTGAGGCACTGCTGCCACCAAACCAGACAGTGATGCAGTTTGTTAAAATGCTCTCAATTGTACCTCTATAAAAAGTGGCCAGGAGAGAAAGATGTGCTCTTCTCATCTGATGCAGGAAATGCAGATGCTGGTTTGCATGCTTCACTAAGAATGATGTGTGGAGAGACCAATTCAGATTGTTAGTTATCTGCACTCCCAGATACTTAATACTGTTAACCGCCTCTACAACTGCATCCTTGATACTGAGTGGAGTATGACTATGTTAGCTCTTTGTAAAATCTACAATTATCTCCTTTGTTTTATCAGCATTTAGAACCAGGTTACTTTTATTGCACCAGTCCACCAGAGCCTTCACCTCTTCCCTATAAGCAACTTCATTGTCATCCCGAATAAGACCCACCACTGCCATGTTGTCTGCATACTTCACAATATTGAAGGGATTTTATTGTGCTTATGATTTTAGTATGTTTAAATTTGACATTAGCATTTATTTTATATATAGTAACCATTTTATATTGATACTTATAGTGTTATCATGTAATCATTGTTTTGTTATTTTGTAATCATCATTTTGTAGTTAATTGCTTGATCAGATGCTATATATATATATTGGAAAAGTAAGGGCTTCATGCTTTAGGTATGGGTGATTGCTTATATGAAAAGAGCACAGTAAGGGGAGGGGGAAAGGAGTTACGGATGGAGCCTGGGTTGCTGTGTATGAGTCATCATTTAGGAATTGTTTTTTTGTGCCATCTTATGCCTAGTACCAAGACCTGATCTCTTTGTTCTGAAAAGGTATAAAAGGTGGAAGACATCTTTTCTGGTTGTTGCCTTCATCTCTCTACCAGCCACGAAGAGAGATGGGGTCACCCAACTCTGTTTTGATCAAAATAAAAGTTGTTTGCTTGCTGAAACCTTGGCTCAGGAGTTTCTTTGGCTCTTTTAAATTCCTGAGTAATGCTGGGGCAATTGTGAGGTTAAGTGGAAAACCTTACATCCTGACGCCCAAACGTGGTGGAAGCCACAATGGCTCTCCCCTCACATCTGGAGACCCCTGTTAAGGTCCCAGCGAGCCTTCAATTCTCAGCAGATGAAACCAGCGGCGACTGTGAGTCTTAGAGCGCTCCCAGGTGTTTGACCTGGAAGATTCTATGCTTCATCGTCGATGGTGGGGTCCCTGTATAATGAACCTGAACGCCCGAATTCAACGAGGTTTCATGCTTCTCTACTGACGGGAGAAATTGCAACAGGCGCCTTGGTAAGTAAAAGAAATAAAAAAAGCTTTGGAAATCCTGGAATAAGGCAGGAGGTTGATCTCTCTGACTATCCTCTATAGATAAGCATAAAAATAAATGAATAAATGTAAGAAAAGAGAAAGCCAAGCAACTGTCTTCTAATATAGGATAGAGTGAGTTAAGAAAAATAATTGAATTGGTATGTAATTTTTTTTGCAGAGGTTATGGTAATTTTGGAATAAGATAGGGGGCTGATCTCCCCGACTAGTCCTCCAAAGGAAAAATTAATTACAAAATTCCAAATTAATTAAGTGAAAAGGGAGGAAGCCAAGAAACTATCTTGAAGTAAATAAAATAAAAAAGAGAGAATCGTCAGAGTAATTTAAACAAACAAATTAAATCTAAATTTAATCCTCTGCAATATGTTTTGAAAAATTGGGAGGTTTTGAAACCTCCAGTGGCTATTAAGTTTAACCCTGTCAGACAACGTCTGGTGTCAGACAACATCTGGTGGTGCTTTATTTTGATGTGTGGCCAATTTATTTTATGGGCCCTGGGCAACAACCTTGGCCAAGAGAAGGGTCTGTGCACTTGGATATTATTAATAATATTAATAATTATTAATTAATTATTAATAAGCTTACAGATGTTTTTGCTATACAAGGGCGGATGGATGAAGAATTATATGCAGGCTTTTTCTTCAATTTGAGCATCTGACAGGACATTTTAAAACAATGTGGCCTGTTAGTCCCTCCAAAGGTTTTGAATTTGGTCTGTCCAATCCGCCCAGAAATAAATAAGTTTCAAAAGAAAGCAATTCAAACTTGTCCTGAACCTGAAGATTACCCACCACCTTATGTGATCCCGACTGCTCCTGCTGCTGCATCTGAAGCTCTACCCCTGAGCTCAGCTGCTGCTTCCCCCACAGCCCCCTCTGTCTCTTCTCCGTCCTTGCATTCAGCTGCTTCTTCCCCCGCAGCCCCCCTTCTCTCCATCTCTGAAGACGAAGATCCTGATGAGGGATCCTCCTCTGCTGCACGGATTCAAAGCCCTTCTCACACGAGACAGGGCAAAGTTTATGCTAAAACAAAACACTTGGAGGAGAAGACAGGTGTGCGACAGGTGCCAGCAGCAAATGGAAAAATAGTCCTGGTTCACACCTCATTTACCACCAGTGACCTTTTTAACTGGAAAGCTAACTTGCCACCATTTAGAGAATCCCCCCCCAGCAGTACGTTGATTTATTTCAAAGGATTTTTGCCACCCACAAGCCAACGGTCCCTGATATAGACACTTTGTTATCTGGATTTTTGGGGGCTGAGGACAAAGGCCAGGTTTTGAAAAAAAAAAAAAAAAGCCTTGGAGGAATATACTGGGGGATGGAAGGAAGCCACCAATAACGGACAAAGAGACATTGAACAGTGGCCAGCACCTGAAGTTGTTTTTGTTCCAAGTTTTGAATGTGATTTTAACACTGATGGGGGACATGGTGCCTTACTGAATTTTCACAAAACCATTCTCCATGGCATTAGAACTGGGGTCCCCAAGACTGTTAATTACTATAGAGTGAATCAGATTTTCCAGACAGCACAAGAGAGTCCTACTGATTTTATCAACCGATTAAAAGATGGATTTCGTTGTTATACAGACATTGATCCTGATAGCCCAGCCAGTGAACCAGTTTTGAAAATGGCTTTTGTTGCACAAAGCGCCCCTGATATTCAGCGCAACTTGCAAAAAAACTTGTTTCACTCAGTGCTCAAACTTTTGAACTCTTAATACAAACTGCTTTCGGATTTTATGCCCAGAGGGAGGAGGCTGCAGAGGGGAAGGAGGAAGATAACATGAGAAAGGATGCCCAACTTTTGGCCATTGCTCTCCAGCCTCGTCAGAATACCCTGGGGCAAGACCAGTGTGCCCTTTTGCAAAGCACAAGGCCACTGGAAAAGTGTATGTCCAAAGAATTGGGGCCACGGACGGGCCCTGGAGGGGAAGGAGAGGATTTCCATCCAATAACAGGGGACCTCCCCCATCCCGGTTGTCACCACAGGCTGAACTGTTCCATCCTAAAATGCAAATGTATGCTAATGACGGCTATCCCTCCCAATACTGATGTGGCTCCAGAGGTCTTGTTTTCTCCCCTGAACCTCTCTTGGAGTTGCAGGTAGGGGGAAGGAACAAAGTTTTTCTTGTCGATATTGGGGCAACTTACAGTGTCTTGCAGCATGCCCCTAAAGACTGTTTGAGTTCTCAGACTACTCCTATTGTTGGTGTCAGTGGGCAAACTGAAATGGCTCCCTGCACCACCCCTTTGTGTGTGATTCCAAGCCAAGGGCCCAAGTTCAACACTCATTTCTGTTTTACCCCAGGGCCCTATTAATTTGCTGGGCAGAGATTTCCTGGGAAATTGGGAGCAACAATCACTTGTCAACCCCAGGGTATTTCTTTGGATTTTCCAGCTTTGCAAGCTTATATTTGTTATCTGGATGCTAGTGCATCTCCTGTTTCTTTTCCGGATTCCATTTCCCCTGAGGTTTGGTCTCATGGAATCCCAGGATTTGCTCATTATGCTGTCCCTCACCGAGCCCATCTTCACCCAGGGGCCCAACCTGTTTCCTTATGGCAGTATGCAATAAAAGGGGAGGCTTGTTTTAGCCTCAAACCCCAAATTGATCTGTAGTGTTTTGTTTATATATATATGTATGTATATATATATGTGTGTGTGGGGGGGGGGGCACCCAAAACATTATGCTTGGACTTGGAATGGTGAGAAAAATAGGGGATGATTAAAGGGCCCTATAAAAAAACCATGTTTGGTTGGAATCACCTCATGATTTTTCTCGCTTTTTGCAGGACAAGCCATATGTCTAAATAAATGTTGTTTTAATAGTATTTGTGTATATATGTTTGTCTGTGTTGTTCTGTGTTATGTCCAAGATTTGGATGAGGGTCAACACCCTCTCTGATAACAACACATAAAAAGGCCTTATTTAACAATAAATAGTTTGCCTGAAGAAAGTATGAAATGAAATATTTGTATGTGGAATTGTTTATGCAAGCAGCATGGGAGTGAATGAGTTGATTAGTTGATACCTAAGTGTGTGTTAGCCCTCAAACCCCACCCCCCCACCCACTCTCTCCCAGGCTGTGAAAGAAACTGTAAACTGCAGATTTTATTGTTGTAAAAGTAAATTGAAAAGCAATAGCAAGTGTTTGCATGAGAAGAGTTTCATGGAGGATGTGTGAGAGAATTTATGGAACATTTATATGAAGGAGAGAAATCTATTTTTTGGTGGTGAGATTTTTTTTTTCCCCGTCTCTCCGCTGCTGTGTTGCTTTAAGAGTGAGAGAGACAGAAAGAAGAAGGGGGAGCTGTTCGTTTTAACATTTTTTTTCCTCTGCTTAGACTTGCGATTTGAGAAGGGTGGTGTGGATCTGAAATTTGATACCCACTCTTGCAGCTTCAGCTTGCAACTTTTTTTACTCGACAGAGGAGACAGTAATTGTTGGACAATTTTTTTGGGGGGGGAATTGTTGAGTTTAAATTGTTTGGTTACACTTATATATATATCCATCAACCAAAAGAAATGATTTTGCATTGTTTTCATTAGATTTGTAAATGTTTTACCTACTTAATGGAGATTTCTTTCCATCTGAATGGAATTTGATTAAATTGGAATTTGACTAACTTTATATTAAAACCAATACTAGGGTTTGATATAAATCTCTTTCAGTTACTCAGAATATCTTATTAAGTTTGTTTATTTTTTTGTGAAGTTAAAATGAAGAAGTTGAGAAAAATTTTGGGATTATAAATAGCTATGTTGTTTTGACTAAACATTTGTATGCAAAACTGTTAGAAAAAGAGTTTATGTTAACAAATACAGAGTTTGGTGAGGAGGTTTTGACTCAGAACTGGGGGCAAAGAGGCAGCCAGTGGCATTTTTGCCTAAAATTGACATTTGGGGACGTTTTGGTGGTTACCATTTCTTATCAAGTGTGGGCAATTTTACATCAGAAAGCCAAAAGGAGGTATACACTTGTAGATAGCAGATGTAATTGTGGAAGGAAAAAAAGTAGAAGTTAGACCAAAGTGATGGAAGGGAAGTGCAGGAATGGATATTAGAAGGAAGAAGCAGGAAAGTTGTTTTTAAGTGGGTGTGCACAGACTTGTGAATTGCATGCATTAAGCAGGGAGACTGCCATTAACGTGGTCAGCCCAAACATGTGAATTGTATGCCTTAACACAAGCCTTACAATGTTGAAGGAACAAGAATGTACTATAGAAATATGAAAAGAGAAAACAATGAAGAAACAGAAGAAAGTGGGAAGTGGATGTTGCAAGATGGGAGAGGATATTGAAAAGAAAGAGAAAGAAAGAAAGAAAGAAAGAAAGAAAGAAAGAAAGAAAGAAAGAAAGAAAGAAAGAAACAAAGAAAGAAGAGAAAGCAATAGCTAGGACACAGAAGCAGCCACTGAAGGGGGGGGTCGCAAGGGATGATAAATACTTTAAAAAAAACAGATTGGTTGTATTTATACTTTAGTTCAACAAATCTGTGATAAATACAAGTAAATAAAATGCTTTACAACATTTAGCGGTGAGGCTATTTCAATATAGGCCTCAATTGGAAAGCTATCTTTGTCCCTTTGAAATGATGTATGGGAGGCTCTTGTTATCTGAAGGTTCAAGAATGTCAATGAAGAAAAGAAGAAAGTTCCTCAGTAGTTACATAATCTGGCGCAGGTTTTGTCTTCTATCTCAGTACAGGCCTGGGCTGCCATACCACCTGTCTATGGCCATTGTTATTCCTGGAGAGTGGGTTCAGGTGAAAAGAACTGTCATCTAGAAATACCAGTCCTCAGTGGTCTCAACCATGCCAGATCCTCCTGATTTAAGGAATCAAGGCGTGAGTCCATGGAAAGTCCCATCATATCCTCTCCAGTGACAAACTCCGCAGCTGGATGGCCTGAAAATGAAATTTCAACCTGCCTTACCTGTTGAACTGTTTCCATCTAAGTAGGA